CCTCGGGAAAGACGAGGCTTGGTTCAGGGGTGCGGGTTTTTTGGAGGATTATCAGGTTATGCGTATTAACCCGCTGGTTTCCGTCAACAGGACGAATCGTTCGGTTTTAAGATAAACATCTGCGAAAGAGAAAGGCTTTAAAAAAAGAGAATATGGTGACAAAGCTGTTGCAGCACTTGCTTTAAAAGCAAAATGTAATTGGATGAGTTGTGCATGTAAGGCACGGATGCTAGCAGTACTATATTTAGATGTGCCAAGTGACAGTTCGTGCTTACCAAATGTAGGCAGCTGTTCCTGCTTTAGAATGGGCCTGGGGTACTTGCATTAAATGCATGATTAAGTTCATTTGGTGTAAAAGAAATCTTGAAGTGGTTTCCACGAGGAGAGGTACTGCCTGGTAGGGCTGTTGCTGAGGACTGATGGGTTTTGCTTGTCTGGGTTTGGTGTTTTTTTTAATCTGCTGTGAATATCTTGTGCATAAGTTAAAGCCAGAAGGCTGCTTCTGGTAGTGCTTTTAATCTTTTACTTCGGAAAGAAATGCAAATACCTCTTCCTGATCAGTTGGAAAACACAAATCAATTTCCCCATGTACTTTCTTGGACTGAAAATTACAAATCGTTTTTTGATTGACTTACAACCCTGAATTCCCTTTGAGGAATTTACAGTGAAACCAGATACGTGTGTCATTAAGCTGCGGCTGATGTGGTAGTTCTCCAAATGGAGTGGAGACAGGGAGAGGAAAAACGCTTTGCGTGCAGTTTAACTCCGCTCTGGGAGGGGTCCTGCCGGGGGGGGGTTCACTTATTGGTCACAGAGAACAAAAGCCTCGAAGGTGGGTCGCTTAGGGGCCATTTGGCATTTGTGGTGTGCTTTGATTCCAGCAGTTTACCCTTGTTTCTCCCGTTCTGGAAGCTCCTGCGGGTGAGTTAGGTTACATCCCGTGTCGGTGGGCTCAGGTAGAACGCCCTCCTTGCCGGCGGAGAGGCTGTGGTGTGAAGCTGCCCCGCAGGGCAGGCAGGGGCTCGCTTACAGAGCGCAGGCTGCCTGCAAGCCGAGAGGAGCAGGGCTCATACTTCGTGTGTCACACGATCCGGGAGCAGCCCCCAAACGCCAATGTATGGATGCTCAAATTGCACCATTTAAAAATAAATAGAGTTTCAGTATTTGAAAGATTAACTAAAGATTTTTTTCTGAAACGTTTTCTTGCACGACTCGGCACGAAATACACCAGCTTTTAAAAGCAAGGCTGGTTTTGACAGTCTCACGCAGCCACCATGGATACTTGCAGCTCAGTTCAATTCAACAGTTGACAACGATTTTTAGGTCAAGCTCACAGTTTCCTTGTAAGCTCCTTTTTACATGCTAACCTTATTTAATATAATGTGCACAGAGATGCCAATACACACTCTTCTATTTAGAAGCAAAGCCAAAGGAAGCAAAGAAAACATTGTTAAAATTAGACGTTCTAGCCTGTACAAAAGGAATTTTACAGTGACTTGATGCTTTTTTGCTTTGTTTTTTATAAATGTTAAAGAAAAGTTGTCTTGCTTAGAGCTTCATTTGCCTGACAGAGAAAATAAAGTGCAGCCTTGTAACATGAAGAGACCCAGCAGAGGAGCAGGTCAGCAGGGTGCACGGAGAGGTTGGGCTGCCATTGGATGAGGATTTAGATGGGTGCTGTTCTGAGAGCAGGAGTGTCACCTCCTTCAGCTGGCTGCTCTATCTCTCACCCCATATGGTTGTGGAGTCACATGGTGAACCACAGCCAGAATCTGATCTGGCTGGCTCCTCAGTTTTTGACTTCTTTCGTGCAGGAGTTGTTGGGGGCATACGGAAATGTGGGGGAGAGGAGTGAGATGGAGTGGTGGTGGGGGGCTGAGGCTGTGTCTTTCCACAGCAGTTCTGGTTTGTGATAAATGGAAGACGTTCAGGAAACTGTAACTGCTTCTGGCTGTAGCACTTGAGGAAGTTTCTACTAAAACTAAATATTTGGATAAAATATTTTATATTACAAAAACGTGGCTTTAAATTTCTGACCAGGGTTCTGTATGGAAATGGGTAGGAAAAGACTTCAGCTTCTGAAGCACTGTGAAATTGCACCACAGCCCCAGTGGTGTTTTCCTGTTGTACCTACAAGGGGATTGTGCAGAGTTTGCCCTACAGAGGCTACTAAATATTTAATGTTGCTGTGTTACCTCATTTTCATCCTGTAATAATCATCATCATTAAATTTTATTTTTTAATTTTGTTTTATCATCATTCCCAGTAAGAATCTGTTCTGAATTGTGATAATTTTGCAATTAACTTGGTGACATTTAGGAGTAGATTGAATGGCTATAAGCTTGTTATATAATGGTGGTAATTTTGCCATAATTTATCTCAAGTTCTGAACATTATTGAATGTGCAATTGAATGAAGGAACTTTGTATGAAATGAAGCAGAAACTGCTGTGGTTCTTGTGCAGGACACAGCACAGGAGTTGGAGAGATTAATTCTGACTTTGCTTAAGGGCAGAATTGTTCCTAAATTTTACCAATTACATTTGAGGTAATCCTGATAACAATAATCCAAATAATCTGAAGTCCAATGCAGAATCAGTGCTAAAATAAGCTATTTCTAGCTGTAATTTCAGCTCTGGTTTGACAGTGAGATCACAAGTTCCATCCTTGATGACTCTGAGCAGTCAGATGAACCACAGTACTGTTTTCATATAGCTGCAAAAGATGCCTTGTTCTAATGTCTTCCTTTTTGAAATTCTAGTTGTTGACCTCCTTTACTGGCGAGACATTAAGAAGACAGGAGTGGTGTTTGGTGCCAGCTTGTTCCTGCTGCTCTCCCTGACAGTGTTCAGCATCGTGAGCGTGACCGCTTACATCGCCTTGGCCCTGCTCTCCGTGACCATCAGCTTTAGGATATACAAGGGAGTTATCCAGGCCATCCAGAAGTCTGATGAAGGCCACCCCTTCAGGTGAGACTTCCCATTGAAGCAAGCAGGAGCGTGTTGTTCTGGGGAAGGGCAGCACTGGTGCTGTGGGAACCCACAGAAGACATATGCTGTAATGTGTTGCATAATAATGGAAATTGCCTCTGTGCTGGAAAATCTGTTACCCAGCCTGGGACAGCCACTCGGTTTGTTTTTCTCAGCAGGCATACACAGCCTGGAGCACAGAACTGAGCACTTGGTACAGGGGATTTCCCTGGTCTTAAGTTAGATAAAAACAAGATTAAATACTTCAATCTAGTGGAGTAATGTGTGCATCTTAGGATGCTGGAGTCTTCAGAATGTGAAGCAGTGGCAGATGATGTACAAAATGTAAAGAACACCCAGGAGATGCAGCACTTTCAATGCAGTGTATTTAGCAAAAAAAAAGGCCACAATAAATGTGGCAGGAGATACTCTGATATTTTTTTGAAGATTTTTTTTTTTTTTTTTCAGAATACACTTAAAATGTAAGTTTTAGTGTGTAGCAGCATGGCTGTGTTCTGTATGTGCAAGGCTGGCTGCCTTGTCATCAGCAGAATCCAGGGTCCTTGCAGCCTGCCCAGTGTAGAAATCCAGAAACTTGCTTTGAATTCTAAGGCCTGAGAAGTTGAATCATGGGATTCATTTGGGTCCTCAGAGGATCTCTGAGCTCTTTGCTCTAAGGATGAGCTGAGGCCTTGGGGCACGGTCTGTGTGCACTTCCCTGCAGGGTGGGAATATGGGATCTGTGGTATTCATCCTTCCCTGTCTGGAGTACACTGGGGCCCATTATTACAAAGCTGCATCTTAAGAGAAAAACTTCATCACATGTTAGAGTAATTAGTAAGAGTACATGTTTGGTGTTCTGTCCCAGGCTGCTCAGACATGCTCCACTCCCTTCATGAATCAGGGAAGGGGTTCAATCTCAGCTTCCCTTGCACCTTTCACTGACTCCTGCTAGTCTTCCTCTTTACAGCTCTCTCACTACTTTTGTGGGGTTTCCACTTATTCTTGCTCTCTCATCTTCAGTAGGACAAAGTAAAATGTTCTCTTGAGTTCACCTCCATTGCTCCCTGACTGTTGTAGCTCTGTTGCCCAGTGGAAGTGGGTCAAACTCCATGGACAAAAGGAGCATTTACCTTCAAGCTTAGATCTGGTACAAACAAATACATCTGAACTGTTGGCAACAGTTTCCAGTGTAGCAGCATGAAATATGTATCTTTTGTAAAGCTAAGGAGGTTTTGTTTGTTTTCTGTCATCAAGGCCTTGTATGGCCCTCATGAGGGTGAATAATTCTCAGCTGAAATACTGTTTGACAAGCCAGTAGTGCTCTTCAGTATCCAGGCAGCATTTCCAAGGTCAACAGCTAAGGTCTCCTTAGCAAGAACAACCAGAACTTGTTCTACCTGTGCTCTTTCTGCAGCTTATTTCTAAAAATACTGATACTCATAAGAAGCTCCCACACCTTGTTTAGCATACCTGGTTTCTTACCTTTTATCTGCATAGCTTCAACTGCAAGAAGGGTTGTTTTTCACTTGCACTGAGGTTGCCAGTGAAGAGCACACCCATGGGATCAGTTTAATTTTTGATTCAGGTCCTGAGTATGTTGCTGATGTGTTGAGAAGGGTGTGCAGGGTCTAGCCAAGTGTGGACAGCAGAATGTAGCCCTGAAATGGCCGCCAGCCATCTGCAGTTACCGTTCGGAGTGTTTTCATTTGCTTTGGACTTGCCACAAGGCCATGTTTAGCTTTGCCTTAAATGACACACAGAGGAGCCTCCACTGTGCATTTTTTGGCTTTGAAGAAATCAAACAAAACCACCTCAAAGCCCAATTCCCCCCTAAACAAAAGTAGTAGTAACAACTGTAAAATGAGTGGCCTGTTCCAGATGTGCTGCACAGCCCCTTCTCCCTGCAGCACTCAAATGAGATGAAATACTGCTACCCACTGCAGCTGCAGGTAGGAGTAGTAGTGTGGTGGAAGGAACACTGCACCAGATGGGAGCCTTCTGTCTTTCTGCTGTCACTGACTGTAAGAGATTATTTTTTTTTTAAGTGAATGATGACAAACTTGCTCATTTTACCATGCCTTAGTGTGTTTGTTACAGCTTAACGGTAGCTTCAGAAGTGCCTCATGGAGGTGTGGATAGACAGGATTTTATTTTTTTGAGAAATGAAGGAATCTCAAGTCTGTTAGAATATTAGACTGCTTAATACAATAGCAGAACAGAGAGTGACACACACCCCACATCCCCCCAGCCTGTCTCTTTTTAGAATACACGTTGGCCTCATTAATGTTCTGAGGTGTTTCTCTTTGTAACATGAAAAGAACATGTGTTGATACTGGGTCTATATGCCACGTTGATGCTGTTTGGTAGAACTCTGAGGTTTCACAAGCTCCTCTCTCTTGCAGGGCTTACCTGGAGTCTGATGTGGCCGTGTCTGAGGAGCTCATTCAGAAGTACAGTAACGTCGTGCTGGGGCACGTTAACGGCACGGTCAAGGAGCTGAGGCGCCTCTTCCTCGTCGATGACTTGGTTGATTCCCTGAAGGTAAGTGCTTCAGCTGCAGGAACAGCAGCCTGCTGGGAACACCGTGCTGACCTGGGCCAGCAGAGCCCACTGCTCCTGGTGAACATCAGCCAGTGGCAGCATCTTTGCCTTTGGGGGAGTAAACAGCAAGGTTTAGTTTGCCTGCTGGAAGCAATGAGCCTTTCTGTTTGTCAGGAGTTGGCTTTCTGTTAGCCACACCGAGTTGGAACCCAGACACTGCCTGCAGTAGTGGTGGTAACTTTACCTGCACTTCATTGGGACAGTATAATAAAAATGAATGGAAAGCTGAACTAAGCTGTGGCTGCTTGCAGTTGGGCTGTTGGACCTCCTCCCTGGTCCTTAGCAGCAGAAGCCTCTTCAGAAGATCAGCTGCTGCTCCAGTATGGGCACTCAGAATGTGTCACTAACACTTCTGTGCCTCTTGAAGATAGGTGTTTGAGGCATTTGTGGCATTTATTGAAGGTGACTGAGCAAAATTGACAGGGGAATAATAATAATGAAAGAATAAAAGAATTGGCTGAGAACCTTTCAGTTGGGTTCTATGAGAATTACATCCTCTCCTTTCAAGCTAATCTCCTTCTTCATTTTTCCAACAGTTGTTTCCTTTACCAAGTACAACATGTTGTCCCTTTCTTTTTCAGTTTGCTTAATCTTCTTGAAATAAAGGTGCATTTATCCTCCAGTAAATCCCTTACTTAGTGCTTTGTAAACTCCTTTGAGTTGTTGTGGGGTTGGGGGAGGGGGTTTCTAGTGAAACTTGGACAAAAACAGGAAAGCTGTAAAAGGCTTTGTTATATTTGTGGAATAGAAATGGGGAGACAGATCTCAGCATCTCACCTGGAGTTTCTAAATACAGTTTCTCACTATGCTCCAACTTAAACACAGAGTGTATGCCAGAAAGGTTGGGCCTGATGCTGTGCTACAGCATATGTTTGGGGTTTTTTTTTAATAAATTTGTTACAAGGTGGCCATGCATTCTTATTTTCTGGATGTGATTGGTACTGCTGCAACCATTTTATGGCACAGTGCCTTACGTAAGGCCATTATTGCCTGTACCTTGCCACTGTTGCCACACAGGGGTTGCATTGCCAGAAAAGTTGGGCCTGATGCTGTGCAAGTCTCCTGCAGCATGTGTTTGGGTTTTTTTTTAATAAATTTGTTACAAGGTGGCCATGCATTCTTATTTTCTGGATGTGATTGGTACTGCTGCAACCATTTTATGGCACAGTGCCTTACGTAAGGCCATTATTGCCTGTACCTTGCCACTGTTGCCACACAGGGGTTGCATTTAGGTGGCCAAACCCTCTCACCACTGCCCATCTGTGGGAGCTGTGAAGAGCTGTCTCTCACCTTCATGCTGAAATGACTGGGTACTGAGGATGTGTCTCTGCAGCATCTCCAGACCAGAGTCTTGACCAGCAGAGTTCTGTGCCATGGCTAGAGCTGCATTTTGTGTGAGGAAGGAAAGAAACACCTTCTTTGTTCATTGTGGTTTTTAAGGGCATTGAGTTTCAGAGTTCAAAGAAAAGTTGTTTTACTTAAGTCGTGTTTGGATCTGATTGAACAACAGCAGAAAAACTTGTAGTCACAAGGTCACTTGTATTTTTTTTTTTAATAATTAAGCCCTTTGTGATATGTTCCTTCATCTGACTTACAAGAATTTCCACAGCATTTGTTTAGAGATCATGATCCTTTGCAGTAAAGGAAGAGGAAGCAGTGAACAGCCAGCTGCTGTTAGCACTGCTTTAAAAACTAGGCCTTCCAGAGGAATTGCATTAGAAATAGGATTAATTCCAGTCAGAATGTCTTCAAGGCACTCTAATTGCTTTTAAAATACGATGGTATACAAGAAAGACATGTTTATTCAGCTGAACTAATTCATTTCCCCTCCCTTCTTCTGACATTAAAACATTTTATGTAGGTTAATTGGCCTAATTTATGGTAGTTGAGAGCAGCCCTTGTATGAAACCAGCGAATGTCAGGACAGTTCACCAGCATGTTACTGATTTTGAAGAGTTTCTGCTTGAGGAGAACATTAAGATGCTGGGATCGTGTGTAATATAATGGCCCTGGTTTGAAAAAAAGACTTGGCTTGTGTAGTTTAAACATTTTAACTATAGGAAACAGCATGTTTGTGTATAATTAAAGTTACAGAGCTTTAGAAAATGTCTGCAGGTCAGTTTATTGTGTGTAATTGTTCTGGCTGTAAAATCTGTCTTGTTAAGATCTTTTTTTACTAAACGGTGCTTCAGTCGTGGGAGTCTTAAAATGGACTCTAAATATTTACACAGCACAAGTAGAAGTTCCTCTGCTCTGGAGGAGCAGTTCCAGAGGAGCCCTTGCCAAGGAGAGCCTGCCCTGCATCCAGGCACAGCACAGCAGGGGCACTGGGCACGGGGGCTCTCCAGCCCTCATGGCTCAGCTGTGTGGGGAGAAACAGAGTGCTCTGCTGTGTTCAAACTGCCTTCCAGTGAAGAGAGACCCAGGGGCAGGGCTGGATTGGCCATGGAGTTGCAGTGTGCTGTGGGTACTGGGGAGCCATTAGTCATTGGGGGGAGTTAGGCAAGCTCTTGATTCAGTCCCTCAGATGTCCTGGGGTTTTTTACTGGTTTGTGTCACTGTAAGGTCCAGGCTGAGATGGGGCCCTGTGCTTTCCTTCTGTCCTGGGCATGTGGGAAGGGCAGTATTCCTTTGTAGGCCAGTGCTGGGTTGCCTTCAGCTTTTTTTTCCTCCTGACTTAGCACTTCAGATGTGTTTCAGGTCAGCCTTTTTGCATTTGCTCCTCTCATTTCTAAGGAAGAAAATAAGAGATGGATACAAAATAGAGACAGATGTGTAAACGTGGGTTTGAGATGAGCTCCACTAATCTTGGGAGTGGTGTTTGAACTGTCAGAAGCGTGAGAAGAGAGGAGTTGAGGGAGGAGAGCTCTGAGTTTTTTGCTGAACTTGATTTGCTTTGGTGTTCTCAGCTTTCCAAGCAGCTGTCCTGTACTGTCAGGGCAGAGGGAGGGGGGTGGTCTCACTGGGCTCAGTGCCTCCCTCTCCCACCCAGAGTCAGTAAGTGAAGTGGATTAAAATGTGCACACAGAATCCCAGCTCATCGTTAGACCCTGGGGTGGCTCTGGACAGACTTTGAGAGGAGCAGAGCCCGTGTCAGTCAAATGTTAACTCCTGGATTTTGATCTTTCTTGGGCCATAAATTCAATGCTCACTAGACAGGATTGGATAGTTCTGATAACTGTTGGACTTTGAGATGGCTCTGTGTCTGTTAGCCCTCTGCTGACACAACCCCCGTTTTCTGACTTGCTCCCGGCGTTCGGCAGCACCGCTGGAGGCTCAGGGCTGTTGGGTCACTGTCAGGAGGCCTCGCTGCCTGTGCCTGCAGCTGGCACATCCAGCTGGCTGAAGGCACAGCCTGCAGGAGTCACCCTGAGCGGTGTGAACCCGGGGGCTCTGCCCTGGGAGGGGGCTGTGTGGGCTGTGCAGGCCTGCTCATAAACCTCAGCCTTGCGCAGCGGGGCTGGCAGCCAGCTCCGCCCGGGCACCGCGCAGAGCAGAACTGGGCCAAGGTTGGAATGAGTCATGAGGGAGTTTAGGGAAATCTGCTTTATTTTTTTTTTTATAAACCTGCCAAAATCCTTGAGCGGGAATGTGGTTGATGGTATCACTGCAGCCTTGGCTGGGGGTTAACTCTGTGCCACTCGTTGCTGCTTGCTTGACGTGTAGAAAGGACTGATGGAGAAAAAACCTGCATCATTTGCAGTGAACCCCACTGAATTTCAAATGGGATCTGCTTGGAGTGGAGCAAACTTTGTGTTGCAGGGGTCATGCAGTTAAGCTCATATTGATTGTCATGCCCTTATCTTATTGTTGGCTGTTGATTTTGTTTGGTTTGAATATTTTGCATCTTACAGTAAGCTAAAAATAGATGTTTGTGAGTAACTTGGCCACAGACTAGATGGTTGCCCCCACTCAGTCCTTGGCCATGCCTCTTTCTTGCCAGTGCTTTGTCCCCATCTTTTCCTTGTGCCTGTCTCGTGCTTAGCAGGGTTCCTCCCCTTTGGTTGTTCGTGGGGCCCAGCTCTCCTGCTGATGCCAGCAGCAGCCTCCTGCCATGTCTGTCAGTCTCTGTGGTGACACAAATGCCCAGATGTGCTCAATCGATTAGAGGGCCAGGGTCTCATCTGTGTGCTCTGCACAGTGCCAAGGGCCACTCGGTGCTTAGCAGGGAACAGGGACTGGTAAATCCACTGCCTCTGACACCCAGCTCCTGGCTTCTGCTCAGCTCCTTATGCAACACGAGAAAACAGGCTGTTTTTCCTTGGGGAGGAATCCTACACAGAAATAGAGCTGGCAGCCTTCGGCCCCCTCCCACCCTGGCATAGGTCAGAGGTGTGCTTGGGACACCCTCCACCTGGCAGAGAGCTGAGGGGCTTGAACTTCTGCAGCTCTTTGTGCAGGGCTAGTGAAGCGGAGCAGGGCCTGGACAAGTGCAGCCAGAAGGGTGGTGGTGGGCGAGGAACAGGGTCGGGGTATGAGTTAGAGGCTGGGGTATGAAAACAGAAATCAGGGCAGCATGAGAGTTCAGGTGTCTGTGAACAGAAGGGGAGCTCTTAGCTTCTGAGTTTGCCTCTGACTTAGCTTAGAGCCAGCTTGTATCTTATGGCATTGTTGACTTCTTTCCTGACTCTTCCAGCATCCAAAGCGTCTATGCTTTCCCAAGGAAATGGAGTCAGCTGAGCACCCCCTGGCCGAGGTGCCCCCAGGCAGGCTTCCCCTGCTGGGGGGCCGTGCTGTCACCTGCTTCTCCTGGGGCTCTGTCACCCTGTGCCAGCCTGGTGGCCTCGGCCTCGCCTGGCTCCTCCTGTCCCTGCCCCTGCGGGCGGGGGTGGGAGCTGCACTCCCCATCGTTAGGAAGTGTGGAATTTGAAGTGCTGTGTAAACACAGAGGGTGTTGAGCAACCCCCGAGTCCTGGTGGCTTTTGGTCACCGGTGACTTGGGCTGGATTCAGCCCCATGACCTAGACACAAGAGGCCACATATCCTATTACTGATCCCTCCAGCCATGTTGTCACTCATCTGTAATTACGTGAGGCTTACAAGGGTTAAGTGGAGTTTGGGGTGTTTCAGTTTGATACCTGTGTTTAGAGGAGCTCTCTAGCTGGGATGCTCTTGGCAGGATGGACTGTGGACTGACTGGCTGTTCTCTTCCTTTGTAGTTTGCGGTGTTGATGTGGGTGTTCACTTACGTTGGTGCCTTGTTCAATGGTCTGACATTGCTGATCCTGGGTAAGTGTTTTCCACTGCATTAAACTCCTGCCATACAAACTAACTCTGGAAGAGCACCGAAATCTGCTCCATGCTGTGAGGCTGCTCCTGTGTTCCTGGGAGTGTAGCGAGATGTTACAGTTGTGTGTCCTTTTCCTAGCCTGGTGATAACACTGCAGAACAGAGCTTTTGGATTGCACTGCAATTCAATGTAATTGAAATTGCTGATTTCCCAGACGTTGTATCATTTAAAAGCAGATTCTGATGTGCTTGTCCCTGTCAGGGTTAGCATCACTTTGAAGATGGTTGCTGTAGGGTGACTTTGGAGGAGGTACAGAACTGGTATCCCACTGCAGATAGTTTTATTTCTTGTATCCCAGACCAGGCTGGAGTTGGGTGTCAGAAACCGACTGATGCTGGCAGAAGCCTAAAGATCCTTTTGGAGGAATTTGCATAACCCACAGTGAAAAAGTGAACTGTGACCAGACTTGCTGTACTGTTAACGAGGCCTGGCAAACAGCCCAGCTTCTCCCTCATAGGGATGATTTAAATTACTGGGCAATCATTTTTGCCTGTAGCTTAGTTCTTCTTGTACCTTTTTGAAAGAAATGTCAAGGTGTGGAAAGGAGCCAGTGTTTTACCTGAATGCCACCTATTTGGTCAATATTTACACCTTTGATGTCTTCTTTTCCAGCTTTGATTTCGCTCTTCAGTGTTCCTGTTATTTATGAAAGACACCAGGTGAGTGTCTAATGTGATTCATTACAGGCTTTTTAAAATTAACTGGCTCTGTTGAAGTAGAAGGACAAGCAGGTAAACCCAAAATTCATTTCAGTATTCAAAGCCTGTGAAACTCAGGCCTTTGCCCAGGAGTCAGTGCCAGGGTGCAGCAAATCGGGTTCATTGGAGCCCAGGCTGCGTGTGCTTTCCCCTCCTCCTCTTGGTGGGAGTCTAAGAAGGCTTCCCCAGCAAAGAGTTACGAAAAGGGCCCGATTAACCTGGAGGCCTTCCCTCCACTGATCAGCTTTGGTCGGGACTAAAGCAGCAGTAGGCACGGTGCATTAATCCTGATGTAAGTACCTTTTAAAACAATTTCTGAAGAAACCTCTTTGGAGCTGATATTCAGGATTTGTGTCCTGAAGCACTGTGGAATTTATAGCCCTGGCAAAAACAGGAGGTGGGAGATGCTCGGGCCAGTCTGGTGCTTCTCCTCTGGAGAGGCTAATGTACAAGAAGGAGGTAAGGAGGAGCTGAAGTAAAAAGCATATGGTTAAATTATAGCTGGGCTTGAGCAGGGACTGTCTTCAGCAGGTCACAGCGCAGGAGGGGCAGCCAGCTCCGGCTTAGCAGTTCCTTCTCCTCTTTCAAAAACAACGCGGCTCGTGGAGGCCAGTCTGGGACTGGGCAAGGGAGGGAGAAAGGCATGGAGCAGATGGTGGAGCCTCCTGGGCTCCTCAGAGCTCCTGGAACAAAGTCCTCTGCAGTGAAAGGAAATGCCGCAGCCCCGAGGAAAGGCGCCAGGCCGCTGGCGTGGCTTAGCCCGGGCTGCTCAATCCTCTTGGCGAGCCGCGGGTGTAAGCTGGTTAGCAGCCCCTGCCCCCTAAGCTGCTTTCCTTCCCACCCTGCCTGCAGAGCGAGGGCCTGGTCCTGCACCCTGCTCCCGGGGCTGGCCTGGAGCAGAGGCGGGGGAAGAGCTAGTGGCAAGTGTGCTGGAACACGGGGAAGCCAGGGATGAGGTTTTTGGGTACTTACCCGCTATTGCCAGCCGTTGTGCGGGGCAAACGCCAGCACGTGCCGTGGCTGATGCCACGGGACCTCTGGCAGCAAACGGGGCAGTAAAGCTGGGCGAGCCCCTGCCTGCCTGCCTTCTGGGCAGCAACACAGCCCTGTGTCAGAGCTGCTCTGTGACATCTGGCATCTTCCATTTCAGGCCCAAATCGACCACTATCTGGGACTCGTCAACAAGAACGTCAAAGATGCGATGGCCAAGTGAGTTGGGTTTTCTGTTTGTCTGCCTTGTAAGCAGTGTTTGGAGCTCTTGGTGTGTGTGGCTCTCCTGTATGAGCACACACCCCGCAGGTGCTGGCCCTGGGAGGCCACAGTCCTGCCTTCCAGCCTGGACTGGTTGGGGAATGGCTCCTTTCTTGCGTTGTTCCTCATACAAGTCTGTGTATTGAAAACCACCAGTGAAACCTGAGTCAGCTGCAACTGAGGGCTGAAAGGAGGGTTTAGTAATTTCATTGGTTTTGGAGTGTTTGTGTTGCCATGAAAGCACCTTCGCTGTGTGTAAGGCTTCAAACCTCTTTGTTACTCTAATGCTCTTCTCTTTTTTCCTCTCCTCTTCCCTTTGTAGGATCCAAGCAAAGATCCCTGGGTTGAAGCGCAAAACCGAGTAAAAAGCCCGAAGCAACTTACTGATAGGAAGTTCATCTTTTAAGGGGGAAAAAAAAATACTCATTTGGATTTACATGGGGAGGGTCAGGGAATAGCAAACCCCTTGACATTGCAGTGCAATTTCACAGATCTTTATTTTTTAGCAACGCAGTGTTTGAGGAAAAAATAACTGTTTTGACTGCCACGTGTTTCATCATCTTAAGTATTGTAAGCTGCTATGTATGGATCTAAAAACTAATCATCTTTCTTTATCCTGTGTGCAGCACTGGCTAATACAAAAGGTTTGAGAAGGAGCTGTACATTTTGCTTCCTCAGCGGTAGTCCCTGCGGCGTCCCGGGGCAGGTAGTGCAGTGGAGCGGAGGGTCACGCCGCCGGTTTGTGCACTGTGTATGGTCTGTGTAGATTGATGCAGATTTTCTAAAATGAGATGTTTTAGAAGAATATACCATCCTAGCAAGTTTTAAAAAAAAAAAAATCTTGCCTTTTTGGTATGAGTATAGCTGTATTGTGATTTTATTGTTTTATCAATTGCCAATATATATATATATATGTGTTTCACAAAGCTTAGATCTTTCAGCTGCTCCACAGTGCTTGATACGTCAGAGAACTGACTGGTTTCTGGACTAGCTCCATAGCACACAAGCTTGAGAAACTAAAACGTTTCTGTAAACACTAGCATCTGTTTAAAACAGCAAGAGAGGAAGGAACAAAGGAACCTCCACCTATACTGAAACTACAGCATACACACTGTTGCACAAACGTACAGTAGTCGATTTTGAGCAGGTAACTCTACAGTCTCTCAAACTCTGATACTCTGTGGACCGAATATCTAATGCTGCAAATGTTGTTTGGAAACCTAAAACCTTGTTGTGCGAGAAATGCTAAGTGACAATTTATCACTTGCAGTTTGAGCTGTATCGAACTAAGTCTGTGGAATGCATTGTGAAATGTTCAAAAAAAAAAAAAGGCAAAAGAACCCCGAAACCCCAAGTATCAATAAAGCTTATAGACATAAAAGTAATGTCGGCATTTTGCTTTCTTGAGGCAAGCTGGATGTATTTGTGTCGATGGCAGTTCCCCGTGGTTCCTATGGCTTGTGCCTGGTGGTGAGTAGTGTGAGCTGTAGAGCAGTGTGTAGGGCAGCTCCCCGCCCTTCTCGTGCCGTGTGAAGCAGTTTGGTCAGGTCCTGCCCCCGGGGGCCCTGCAGTGGTGTGAGGTGGTGATGGCCAGCTGTGAAAGCTGACGCCTGAGGTTCTGCTCAGCCAAGTGCAGACCCCTGGTTTCTGTCACTTCTGAGGCAGTAATGTGTGATGGCATCTCCTAGTCGGAAGGAACTGGTAAGGCAAGTCCCAGTAACCTGTTGAGATCAGCTTGTTGGATCTGATTGAAGAGATGGACATTGAAAACTTGTATCCAAATTTATTTGAGACACAGAACTGAAATTAATGGCGACGATTGAAAAATAAATTCATGCACTAATGTTTTAGTTTACAGTATAATACATTGTTACTTCTGAACATTTTATACATAAAGCCAACCATATATAAACATAGAAATTTGAAGTGTTTTCCTGACAGACACTATTGCTTTAAGGTGTTTTCACATCAGCATTGATTAACTCATTCTGCCACACAACTGGTTTGACCTGGGATACAATCAGTGTGGAAGGAAGGCAAAGGTTGTTACAGCATAGGCCAGGAGGGTGCTCACCGACATCGCCACCGAACGGGCACAGGACTGGAGCAAGGAGGCTTCTTAAAAAAAAGAGACTGCATAGGGCCTCTATTGTGTATCTGACAAACTGATCTTCTGTATAGTAATATAAGGCATTAATAAATTCAATTTTAAAAAAAAAGGTGGTTCTTTGAGGTTGCTGAAGCACTTGTGTGTTAATGTACGCTGTTCACTCCTCTAGCTGGATATTCCTTGCAGCCAGTGGCCACCTCTTTCCGCGTGGGCGTCAGAAGTGGATTGGCAGGAAGGTGCTGCAGCTCCAAGTTGTGTTTTCCTGCACTGGGACTAAAGCACTGTTTAACGTTTCTTTTCAAAGACTGCCTGTAAGTCTGAATGCTTTTTCCCCCCTTTATTTCTTGCCATTAACAAACTTTTTAAAAGAAATGTAATTTCAAAATATAGATGTTCCATGCCAGAAATGTCAGAAGTATTTTGTTTTGACATTGCCCACATTTTCTGTTCCTTCAATACTGGAGAAAGTTGAAATTAACTTTTCTCTCTCCACTTCCCCTGTCCCTGTAGTTTGTTGGTTTTGTGGTGTTTTATTTTTTTCCCCACACTGTTCATTAACAGATGTTGAACGGCTTTACTTGCCTTCTGTGAACATCTGTTCGTGGAGGCAGCTCTCATTCCAGCAGCCTTGTGGACGAGGGGGCTGCAGGAGGAGCAGTGATGGGGAGAGGAGTCCAAATTTAGCAAAGTTGATGCTTTTCTCAAGGACAGGTAAATTTTTTTGTGTTGGAGCAATTCCTGTAGCTGGCAGCGGCGTGGGACTCGCTGCCTGCTGGAGGGGACACGGTCCCTGCCCAGCATGGACCAGCCTTCCCTTGCCTGGCACCCCCAAAACGGGGAGTCACAGGGATTCCTGGCGGCTTGGGGCTCACGGGTGAAGGTGCCCAATGCCAAAGCAGGGAGCAGGGCTGGCAGCACCAGCCACGGGCAGCCCTCTGGAAGTTCTAGCACCGTGTGTTGAAAGCAACTGGTGGGAGGCAGCCCGTACTACTAGACGACTATTCAAAGGCACTTTATGGATAGAAAACTGCCAAATACATACATTTAAAAACAAAATGGATCTAGAAAAAAAAGATAACTTTGCTCCTTCCATTACCAGAAGCTGAAGCGTGCCCCCAGCATGCTCATTAGAAGCTTGCAGTTTATTTGGTGCACCAAATGGGCGTTTGAAGTGGGTGTGGTTAAACCCCACCAACTTCCTTGAACAAATGTTCAAGCAATAATTTTGGAAATGATGCAACTTCAAGGGCCTGACATGTTCTTGGTGTGCTCCTTGTCAGACATGAGTAACACAGTATCAGGGAAAAGCAGCTTTGGCAGTGAACCCTTCCATCACCTTGGCCTACCCAGGCTGCAAAAGGATTCCCTTTCCAGCTGCAGCTTCCTTCTCCAGGACTTGGGTCTTTCGTGTGCAAGACCAACACCTTGTTCAGGAAGTTGGTGTGAGTCACCTGAGCAGAGTCCCCCATGCAGCATGGCCTGGGAAGGAGCAGCCCAGGGCTCGAGGCATTCGTGGCAGTTGGTGGTGGCAGCAGCAGCGGCTCCCTTCAGAGGCAGCGCCAGACAAAGACACTACAAAGGAAGGAGGGAGAGCCTGGTCAGCGTCCTGGGCAGCCCAGGGGCCAAGCGAGGGGGGTGGGCTCTGTACAGGGACGGCTGGACAGCAGGTACCCGCGACTCCCTCAGCACCTGCACTGTGCCCCCAGGAGGCTGAGAGAGCTCGTGTGTGTGTGTGTGTGTGTGTGTGTGTGTGTGTGTGTGTGTGTGTGCATGCTTCGGTGATGGGCTGGGGGTGGGAAGCGGAACTACGGGGCCCTGTACAGTTACCCACGTTACAGCTACACAATGTTATTTCTGGATTCAGAACCCCAGAAATCCTCCGGACGCCTCTGCTGGCACAGGTGAGGCAGCAGGTCAGTTCTCTGCACTTGAGGCAGCCTGGGGGTGAGGGCTGAGGGCAGTGACCAACAGAGGGGAACACACAGTCAGAGGATGGACACAGAGAGATGGATGCACAGGGGCCACACAGTGACAGACACACACTCACACACGCAGGGACGGGCACAGGGGCCACACAGTGACAGACAAACACGCAGGGA